CCTGCTGGCAATGGCATCAGCAGAAGATCCTCTCTGTAAGCCAACTACCTAAAATCACTTGCTTGAACCTCCAAGAGACAGCATAGTCCTCGCAGCTCACATGCCCAGTGCCCACCCCTGCACTGGGCCACCTGAGACCCAGAGCTGGCTGCTGGACAATGCTCAGCACAGGCACCTTTGATGGAGACAGACCTGGCTTGTCTAGGCTCAGAAAATTAACACTGCAGTATCCATCCCTCATTATTTAAAAAAATGTCTTTTTCCACCTTGAAATGTTACCTCTAAAATCCTCTCACACCACAATCTCACCAGCTGTTCCGATAATAACAGCCCACCTCACGTGTTTGTTCCAGTCGTCTGCTTTACCAAAGATACTCTCACCTTAACTATCAGCCTTGGGGACTTCAGAGAGTTCCTGCAGCCACCGCATCAATGAAGCGTACATGTCCTCCTGACCTTCAGCCAGACCTACCTGCAAGTCATTAATCACTTCTGAAATCCCCATCCATTACCAAGTTCCACAACAGGAACAGCGGGAATACGAGATGTGCAAACAATTTCACTGGCAGGTTTCTTCAACTTAAAGCCAGGAGCTTTTTTTTTTTTTTTAAGCCATATAGACGCTTGTCAGAAAACAATAGTAATTTTTAAAAAAGGCAAAGAGCCACAAATGTCTATTTTATAGTCAGCCTTTAATTTTTTGTCTGTTATTACTGCAATAAAGTGCACCTAATTTCACATGAAATGAGATAATATGGCTTTTAATACAGCCAACATAATATCAAAAGATAAACCTCAGTGCAAAATGCTTATCTGAAGACAACCAAAGCAGTCAAGACATTTACTGTGCAAACAGCCTTTCCCAATGCACATAACTTCTGGCTGGGGGCCAGTACATGAGTCAGCAAAACACAACAGCAGCAGGTTTGCTATTTCATTTCCAGGAGTCCTGAAGCAGAGCTCAGCTCAGCAGTCCGTTGTAAAGACTCTGCAGCGATGCTTTGGGATCATCTCTGTAAGGATACTAATGAGCTCAAATCCAACCCACGTCTCGACTTAGGCAACTGGGGAATTACTACTCGGCTATAAAACAGATGGAGGAAGAGTCCAGACAAAGCAGGAGGGGGAGAGAAGGGGAAAATGCCAGAATGTATACACAGGCATTAAGCATGAAAACACAGGACTGGCTGAGCTAAGAATTACTTCAAGACCTTCTCCATTTATAGGAAACTCATCAGCTGTGAACCCAACAACTACAACGTGTGCGTCAGACCAAAACAGGACCCGCAGCCATTTTTTTGTGAAACAGAGCTGAGGCATGCCCCTTTTGTCCAGGGACATTTAATTAGAAAAGCATGTCTGTTTTTATTTTTTTCACCGTTCTATTAAATAAAAGTAAATATCAAAGTGGTTAGTTCATCTGGAAAAAAACCTCAGCAGTTCCAATGTGCTTCGAACTGCAGTACAAAAACTGTTCATCTAAACCCCTCCCCTTTCCTCCTCCAAAATATACAGGACAGCAACTTCAACTTTACACAGTAAGAAAATATATACACATTACATACAGTAAACATATTCTGTACTTTTTTTAAACTTTATACAACATTAGTGAGAAAAAATATAAACATTAATAAAATTACATACAATATATTCAACAGAGGAAGCGACTGCTACCAGAGGGAAGGTTGTTACACTACCCAAGACAGGCAGAGCAAAGGACAGCGTTGCCAAGCCTACGTAACACAACGTATTTGTTTTTATAGCTTAAAGCAGTTCTATTGCCAAACAAAGATACCCTTTGAGGTAGATTCTTCCAATTCTTAAATAACAAGTTTAGATTTTTAAAAAGGGATTTTCTTTTCCCCCCTCCGCCCCCAAACAATGCCACAAGCATAACTTTTGTTTGAACACAGCTAAGCTGATTATCCTGTGAAGGACAGAGACACTGCAGTCTTAGGCTAACTCTTTAACACTTGAAATGAAAGACAAAACATTTAACAGGAATTTGCAAATAAAATACCTTCCCTATAAAACATGTCCATTCTATAGAAGTTCCTTTATATGTAATATACATACTTAAATTTGAAGGGTTTTTGTTGCGGGGGTGGTTGAGTTTTTTGAGCCTTATTTTACATTTTCATCTTGGAAAGTTGTAGGAAATTTATATTACAAGACAAGACAGGGTAATCTACAAAGATTAAAAAGAAACAGTATTATAAAATGCACATGTTGATATTATTAAAAATGTCACTTGTCACAGGAATCCCAGTTGGTGCTTCTACCCAATACCTTAACTTTCTCTTCATATACACACACACCTCACAGACAAACGGCAGTGTAAGATTTAAATGATGGCATTTGCAACAAGAGCACAAGAGGAGATCACATCTTCCTTAAGTTAGCTCTTGGAGCTTTGCGTGTGCAGCAAGACTTCACACAAAGGAATTCAGGCCTCGTATGTCTTTCATGGTTTTCACACAGGTGGGCCAAATGCTCATCTCCTCAAATCTCCACTGAGCTCGTATTTTAGGATTAGTATTTTCCCCATTTAAATAAAGTGCTGAAGCCAGGTAACAAATATAGATATGCTTGTTTCTTAAAGAGCAGCACAACAATACTACTGGTGTAATAAGACCTCATTTATAACTGGATCTTATAGAAACGCTTCCGCATGAATAAATTAATGTCTGAAGATGAGGAAGTTAAGTTAAAAATGAATGCATCACTGTAATAACAAATTCTATTTTGTTATTTGATAAAACACAACCACAGAGCAAAGGATCCATTTAACCTGTTTGGGCACAGCCACTCTTAAGCTCTGTTTCCATCCTCGAGTCAACGCAAGAGCAGTCACTTCTTCACATGCAACTGCTGTATTTTGTACTTTTTTTTTTTTTACATTGGAGGGTCACACCAATGTGGCTCTGCAGATTAACATTGTGCAGTCAATTCTGTTATTCAGCCCAGTTCTGAACCACTTCCTCACCTGCTCACATCAGGGGAGGTCTAATACTGTTTCTGAACTCACATTCTACATCACAGGGCACTCTTACCCAGCCATCCTAAAACAGTGCTTGCAGCTGTGTGCTGGCAAGAAAACCAATACATACAGTTTTCAAGTATGTCTTGTGATTTACAATGGAAATGAGAAAACTTCTCTCAGCTTTCAATATGAAGAAAATATTTCTAGCCAATTCAGACAGGGCTATAGAAATAGCTGGGGTTTTTTTTTTCAGTTTACCCACTCCAATTTTTCAGAAGTAGTGTATTTGTAGTAAAAGCAATGTTAACCAAATTAGATCTGTGTGTTTCTAGTATTTGCCTGAATTAAGCTCAAGTTCTAACTCAGGTGACTGATTTCTTCTGTTCCAACACACGTGAAGCTCCATTCATTCTACATCTTCCTTCGTTTCAGAGTTTTTCTGGTATTTTCCCTGAACTAGGCTGATTTCATGAATCTGGCTCCCAGAAGTCATGCAGTTTTCCCTATAGAGTAAAAACAAAACAGTAAACATGTCAGAAAACCAATGACAGGAGTAGGCAAGTGCTTAATGCGAGATCACCACAATGTGCTGCAAGTCCCTAGAATTTTATTCAGAAACACTTGCCAGTTTCCCCATATGTGAATCAACCCCAAATATCTCTGAAAAAACAACTCTGGAAGAGCTGCATCATTATCAACTATCATCAATTGCTAAGGAGCTTCTGCAGCCATGTGTTATTGTCCAATTCCTTTCCCACCTCTGTAACAAGAAATGTCTCACTCTACAAATTTTGTCTTTTTTGCACATTGCTAGGAGCGGTGTCTTTACAGACAAATGGTTGATTACACAATTTTTAACTGAAATCAGTACTAAGTGTATATGTATAATTTAAATTTTACATAAGTGATACACTACATTACTGGAAAGCTCAGCTTTTCCAAACCGGGTAGCTTTATATTCCAAGACAGGACTCAAACAGTTGGTCTAATCATGTTACAAAAGAAACCTTACAACCCTAGACTGGAAGAAACAGCTCTGAACTCTGGATATCAGTACAGGTTATCCACCTACTCCACCAAGGCCAGCTAGATAACAGGAAGGCAAATATTAATAAGAGACTAATCATAACATTATTTACTACTGCATACTTTTACAGAGCATGAAAGGCTTTTCCTAATCATTGCAGGAAATTCAACACATTCAAAGGGGAAGGAGATATCAAGAGCCGTTAAACATATGTGGATAGAGCCTTGGACTCAAGTAGTCTCGAAGTCACACAGTGCCAGACCACAGCAGGAAGTGCATCACTGCATTCCTGCCCCAATAAACTCTTCAAAACATCTGCTAATAACTATAATCAGAGACAGGCCCTATGACTTGACTCAGTACTAGCATTTTCGTGTATTGCGCAAGCCATTTACAAAAGCAGCGCTTTTAAGGACAAAGATGAAATCTTGGTTTTATTGAAGCCAGCAAAAGCAAGAATTTTAATTAAAATCTATTTTAATACATCTAAGTGTATTCCAGAAGCAGGCCATTTAGGAAGGGGAAAAAAAAAAAAAAAATCTCTTTACAAGAACATGCTATTTTCAAATGCTAAAAAATGAGTTAAATGCACCCTCCAATAGGAAAAGATACAAAAAGATTTCATTACAGTACCTGAGTAGGCAGAGTGGTTTGTATCATATCTTGCCATTTGCCATATATCCTAGCAACTAAATCTTTTACCTGCAAATTCAGATTGATTACTTTAGTCATTTATGTTAAAAAACCAGAATCATACCCACCTGCCTCCCACTCCCCAAACCCATAAAACCCCAGATAACCCAACAGCAAATGCTTAATGGGAGGGAGCAATTTTACAGCTGGCACAAAGTATCACTATCTCAACTCCAAGTAGATCCCTGTAATTTGGGACTCTGAATTCAAAGTCATGTACTCCACACAAACTCATTACAGGCACATAACTCCCCACGGTAAGTGTTTGGAAGCAGGACACAAGCCTCTGGCCCCCAAACACCCACCACATCCTTTGGGTGAATTAGGTTTGTCTGTACCTAGAAAAGGAGCCTGCAACTGCAATCACAACGTGGCACTGTCTGCTTCTGAAATCAATCCCTTATATATAAACCAGTGTTTTTTCATAACCAGTCACAAGCAGGTGTTTAATCCAAGCCATTTAGGACTGAAATTTGCTCCATATGCTGTGTTAAAACCCCACACAGTACAGTAACATCCAGAGGATGCCACTATTACACAAATGAAGTGATGGGGAAAAACAGAGCAAGATTTTCCCCTCTCAGTGCAAGGGTGACAGAAACAAAAGTGAAAGCAACCTGAGATACAAAAATCCAAAGCAAGATTCATTAACTTGTTAAAAGGATCCACGCTCTACTGATCTGGCTGAATAAAAAGAAGAATCTTCTTGAGGTAAGGATGCACACGACTGCAAATGTTTGATCTACAAATGAAGCAGGTAAGGCTTTTTTTCAAGGTTGAGGTTGTTCACTTTACCACTATCTGATTTGGCTTGCTATGACAGCATGCAAAGCATGAAAGTCACAAAATTAGGACTATCATTAGTAAGCTCCACACCACAATGAAAAGAAAAGGCAATTATCCAAGCCTGATGCTACACCACATACACTGTTGGCTTAAATCCACAACATTTTAAACTAACTCATTAATTTGGAAATAAAACAAGAGACATACGCAAGATAGGCTAGTTTTTCTGTCCTCTGTATCCTGCCCCACATGGAGCCTCTGCTCTTAAAAGCAGAGTCAACTATCAGTAAGTGCCAGGAAAAGAAATGAAGTGACTCTGTGGGTCTAAAAGTTGAGATGCCTGGCCAAGAGGAAGACAAGCTCATGTCTTACAGTTGTTAAAAGTCGTATTGTTAGCAAAAAGAGTATTTTCAGTGCATTAAAATGGGCACATATTTACATACATGCAAATACACGATGCAGAGAAACCAGAAAAAAAACCCAAACCAACCAGCATGAGGAACCCTTAGAATTTCCAGGGCTGGGATGAGGGAACAATACGCAAGAGGAACCCTAAAAAACATCTAAAACAACAAGAAACCACCCAACTTACGTGTCTTACCTTAGTTCGATAAAACAGCCTTGCATCTTCCCTAATATCACATTTTATGTGCTTATCTAAGGCACCACAAAGCTTCAGTAAGTGTTGCTAAATAAAGACAAAAGTGTACAGCTATTTAAATCCTCCATGTCAAAACTAAAAGCTTTCTTCAAATATTATTTCAATTTTAAAATTATATGCTTGAGTTTGAATTTTTATTAGAAATATACAGTAAGGAAGGTGGAAAAGAAAGAAAACAAGATTACAAGATCCTCTATCAGTTGCTGGTATGCATCCAGTAAACCACGTCTAAGAGCTTTAAAAAATAGTTTCAAAGTTTAGCAGTGCTATACATAAAAATTTAAAGATCCTACTAGCTAATCTGTAAATCCTTTCCATCTCCAAAGTAGCAAGCACAGTGTCATTCATACCTTCCATCAGCAAAAAAAAAAGTCCTGAAGTTACAATAGCTAAAAATAACCTTTTTTAGTAATGACAACTTTTCTTTTGTAGGAATTGTCTGAGCAGGTAAAACATATCCAAGGATTATGCAATGATCTTTTATTTCTCTCTAAATTTCCAATTACTTTATTAAAGCAACTTTGCAACTTCATAATCTCTTGATAATGGCTCCCAAGTTCTTCTGCATTTTGTGAATTTCTTCATAAAAATTCCTGTTTTCAATCCCTCACTGAACAGCTGCAAAGAGGCTTTGCCCTGTGGAATAGGTGAGACATGCTGAAATTCTATTTATAAACATTTGCTGGTGTCTAAAGATCATGACAATTTACTCCATCTAACTGGAAGAGGACCAGAAATGAAACAGTAATACTTTAAGTCTAGCCTGCACAATATTCAGCTACACCCCTCTTGTCACTTGCTGGCTAACAGGTCAGTGAATAGACTCTTTCTTCATTAAGAAATATAGAAACATTAAAAAAAAAAATCAAGTTCTCCACACATCTTCAAGAAGGCAGTTGTAAAAAACAAATGTCAAAAGATCATCACAATATAATTTTTTTCTTTACCAAATATGTTTGTTTCAGATTACACTCTGTGATGATGTTTTTGCATCGAGTAGGAAACAGAGATGGAAGCCCCAAAATCTAACCCAACATTACTGCTTTGCCTCTCGCAAACAGTTCATACGATGGATTTATTAACAGCCAAGAGCTATTCCATGGGGCAGAAAGTGTACTCAAACACCTCGCAGCAAGCAACTCACAGCAAATGATCACAGAAATCTGAATAGGATTACTGAAAGGCTAAGCAGAGGTATTACTTAACAGATGTTCACATCACATGGTGCCATGGAACCATCACTACAGAGAACAGAAGAGGTACAGTCCTAGCTCTCACTTGCTGCATGGCTGCACTCCAGCACAGAAAACTGCGATGTGTTCAAACATATTTTACTGGATATTTTTAAAGTGGTTTTCTTCTAAACTGAAGAATTTTAACCCTACTTCCAAAGTTCATAGGATCATTAGACTTATTAGAATTTCTATGTTAAGTTCATCTCCAGTTACTCTCTGAGAAGAATTAAAAAACCAAATGTCTTCTGATCCACAACCTTATGTTTTGAGGTAGTTCCATTTGCAGAAATGCAGGAGCTGTTTCTTTCTCTGCACTAAGTGCAGATAAAGCTCTTTTGCATCTGCTTTGCCCCAGAACAAAGGTCTTCCCCAGTGCTATTATCCACTGGTGATCTTCTATCACATGATACCTCTTACCAAAACAGACCAAAAAGTGTATGACAAATAGTCTTTTAAAACCTAAATATCTAGCCACTTAAGTTACTTACCCTCTGATTAGAATTTACAACATCGAAGAAACTAGCTTCACTGACTAGATGAAGGAGGATGTAGATTAGGTAGTACGCCTGGAGAGAAATCAACAGAGCTTTAGCAGTTAAAGCACAGTCATAACTCTTCACGTCTAGATATACCATCATCTTTGCTTTCTGGAATTATTCCTCCACCAGCCAGATGAGCAGACAAGTCTGTCTACACATTTGCCTAAATAACTAATTTGAAATAGTACATTCATATATTAAAATAATGCAAAACTGTTTTAAAATGTTTCTAAGTTACCTAAGTAACCTACACAAATTTCTGTTGTTTTAATAGCTGAAAATTAAATTCAGCAGTTGGCTTTATTTTCCCACCACCTACATCCAGATCAAAATACTTGCTAAGAGATTCCATGATAGACTCAAATAACCAAACCAATATTAAACTTTTGGATGGCTGGAAATACTACATCTTTCTAATACTTTCTTATGAGAAAAGATTCATAAAATAGTCATAAATCTCTTTCTGAAGCCCGCAAGTGAAGGCTTGGCTCAGCATCAAACAGTTTTCACTGATTACATCAGAAGTGAAGAAGGATGGTCCTCTGATTAGAGAGGAAAGGACTCAAGACATCCATGTGACTTCGCCATGCAGAAAATCTGACCATTTTCCTGTTTGTAAAACAGGCCAATACAGCTTCCTCCATCACCTGCTACTCCCTTCCTTCCTCCATGACTATAATAAAAATTGAACATGAATAATATTTTATACAGATAAACAGCAATAAATAGTGTATGTACAGTTCCATGTACAGAACCATCCTCAGTTAACAGAAATTAAAAGAAACATTCTCAAAAATGGAGAAGATGCACAAAAAAAAAAAATGCAAAAAAGCACTATCAGCTATGTACCTCCTGTTCTAGTTCTGTATGAAGGTGGTCTCCATCGTCATTCTGCTGCTCCAGTCCTTCTCTCATCTTCTTTAGTAGATTAGAAGGTTTCATGTACACCAGGAACTGATGCAGAAGAGACATCTACAGATACAAACGTGAACAAATTGGACCAGTTTAGTGGCAACAGAAAATTGGAAATGGAGCACCACCACAATATTATTTGTCCACTTAGACAAGAACACAAAAGGAATTTTTAATTAAAATGGAAGTTTTCAGACTTTGGGTAGTTTTGAGTATTCACAAACCAAAGTGTTTGTGCATTGCCTCAATAAAAGATTAACCCTACAAAAACAGAATGGCTCTGCATGAACATAAAAGAAAGACTGAAAAAAATGCAGATCTTCCAATGGCCAAAATGAATGTTAAGGTTCGTAAACAATACTGCACTTACAAGCTGCAGAACACGCAGGTGACGCACATGTGCAAATATACTTCTACTACTAATCTAAACTAAACATTACTAATTGGTCATTTTACGAGGTCCTTGAAAATAGGCTTACAGAATTAAAACATAAAACTCAAACAATAGTATACATGTTTTCTAAACTTTCAAATTAAACACAAAAAAACACATATATGCAGTACCTGCTCGTCACTGTCGTCAGGTATTTCTACATGCCTTTTATTAAGAAGCTTTGAAATTATCACTAGACTAAGATGTCTTCTTACTTCCCTGAAAAACAATTTTAAAAATTTATTTCCCAGAGAATTTCATAAATCCACACTGTTTCTATGAAGTATATGAGGCTATGCATGGCTTCCTGAGACATAAACTTGCCTAAAACTATTAAACTGGATTTTCTGAATATAGGTGCTATGAAACGAGTAGAGAGACTAGTAAAACACAAGTACTCTTATGTCATTGCAGCTTTTCTTCTGCACAAGTAAACACGGCTAGATGCTTGCCTCCAAGCCTGAAATTGAGGACTCAATTCATTCTCCTCACTCAGATACATTACAGTCTATTCATTTCAAAGATACAGAACTCATTAACAGACATGACACTTAAAAGCAGATATGAATCACCCAAAGAAATTTAATTTTTGGTCATTCGGACAAGAATGTCGGTGATTGATGTCAGAATCTGAGGTTGTAAAGTCTTTCTTTACTATAGTGCATCAGGAAGTCTGCAGCCCAGAAAACTACACATAAAATGTAAAATAACCATTTTTCACATCAGAGGTGATCAAGCAGCTTTATATACACAACAAGAATTGCACATACATCTGTAACATATGAGAAAACCCATTATTTTTTATTTTTAAGTGCCATGCAATACCTATTGCATTTATCAGGCTTAGAGTTTATACAAATAAATCAGGGGTTGCTGATACAAATAAATTAGCTGTTAATGAGACTACATATTTCTGATGTTACAGTGTCGTTACCGTCCACGTATTATCCAGCTAGGCACCAGCTGAACCAGCCACAGGAGATTATGGTGGTGACTGGAGAGTTCGCTCACTGCCAGGCAGAGCTCAGGCATCTTTAAAAGAACAACAACAAAAACCCCAATACTGAAGAATGGATATGGTGGGCATTTGTTTTATTTGCAAAGGAGTACACATCTACTCCATAGAAACATACAGAGAGCAAATGTTAAAAGGAACTGATCTAATAAGATATGATATGCATAAAGATAATTCTGCACCTGTAGCTTAAATACTATTTTCCAGTAGGGTAGTTGAGATCAGCTTGCTTTTCATTACATTTTATCAGCTTAGTGCAATAGTTTCTTTATTCTTTCAGAGAGCCACTTCAAATATAGAGCTATTTTAGTAAATATAAGGTTAAGTTCAATACAACAGTCTCCTTGCAGAAGGGGACAGGTAAGCATAATGTCATGCAACAAAAACTCTCTCAGTATACCCACCCACCTCCACACACATCCAAAGCTCCCAATTTGCTCATGTTACATTTTCAAGCTGTATTTTTCTGATATGTCAAGAAAGAATGAAAACTTCAAAACAGAAGTTTCTTGAAAGTTAAGTTGCAGTTTCATAAATCTAGTACAAGAAAATTATTAATGAAGTTACCTTTGTATCCCAGTCTTTTATACTTATCAGAAGCTTTATGAAAAGGCACTGAAAATCTATCAAAGGGATTTGCTTTAACTGTTTCTCCAAGCTTATTTTAAATAGCAATAGAAGCAGCAGCAGTATTTCTTGATCAGTATATCCACCTTGAATTACTGTTGTACAGAAACCTAGAAACTTTAAAAGAAATAAAAAGCATTAAAATCTGAAAAATTGCTTTAGTTTATTAGCTTATTTTAAAGTATGATGAGAACTTAAGTTTTCCACCCTTGCATTAAAATGCACCTCAAATGATACATTGTTCTTGCAGCACTTGTGTACTAACATCTCTCCATCTCCCAGTAACTGCACTCTATTGGTTTAGTTGGTTGCTTTTTTTTTTTTTTTTAAATACCTGTTGGATATATTTATACCTCATCTTCTGAATAATGGCAATAGTCCCTGGACATCACAGAAACAATCTCTTTCGCCACTACACAGATAATCCTCATCTAACTGAATGAAAGACTGACAGACTTTCTAAATACACAAGTAATACTGAAAACAAAGAAAGATTTTTTTCCCCCATTGAAGTATTATTACATGGGCTACTTACAACATGGGATGTGTGTGTAAATGAGAACACAAATTAAGAGACATGTATTTTGTCTCTAGTGGAGATGCTCCGAGTACTTCCCCTTGAACTAAGTGATTTGATAGTTAAAAATCTCTAAATAAATTGTATCAGGAGGATTCAAACATTTCCACAAGGAACTCTGAAATCAGTTATAATTTTATCTTTCAGTATTTTCACCACACAACTTTTAATCACAGAGAACTAGCTTGTGAAGCGTGACCAGCACTCATTCAGCCTATGGTCTCACAGGACAGTGAGACTCTAACAGCTCACTACCACAGGAGTGACAGTCACAGCTCTACCTGCCCTCTATGAGTTCCCACCTGGTTCACCTTGTGCTGCTCAGGACTGACCGTGTACCTCTGAGTGCTGCACTAACACACTGAGAGTTTCTTCTACACAAGGGAGCAAAGATATCTAATTCAGTGCCACAGCTGAAAAAGAGACGCAGCAGAACTGTGCAGCTGTGAGTGAAGCCAATGAAAGTTGGGGAGAAAGGAAACTCTTAAGTTTGCAACAAGCCTGCAATAATCTCTGCTGAATGTGAAGCTGAAACTTCAGCATCTGCTCACAAAACAAGCTCTGGATTAGATCAGTCAACAAGGTTTTTGCTAAAAAAACCCCAAACAAAGCAACAAGATCCCACCACCCCCCAAAAAACACCCAAGAAAACCCCAAACAAACAAAAAAACCCACTAAAACAAAACGATAACATCCTCCCACACTAACTGAAGTTTTCTCACCTTAATCACGTTAATTAAATTGTTTTCTGGTAGACTAGAGAAGGCTGGACTGGCAGAGGTTAGGTCTCCTCTTGGCTGTTCTTTACTCACTGTTTCTTGCATCTGACTTCTAATAAGAAAGAGACTAATCTGAGCAATAAATCAACAATTTAAAAGCCCATGAAGGCTTATTTGCATCAAACTGAAGGAAAAAACCCTACATGTTTGAAAATGCCTTCAAATCAAAACAATTCTGAAGTTACAGAGTGCACACCTCTATCTTAACTTGTAAACAATCATTTACAATTCTGCCCAGCTCTTTAGGCAACAATTCTTGTAAACTTCCATTAGGAAGATGTAGGACAAAGGACAATGCTCTGGTTTGTTGAATCCCCACTCGGCAGGCATTGTTTAAAGTTCTAGCTTATTTACTCTTATTAAGACCCGAGCTGAGAATTTAAAGAAGAATATGGCTTGATGGAAGGGAGGGGAAATAAAGGAGAACCTTCTGATTCTACATTCTAAGCACAAGACATGCTTTCACAGGATCTAAGGAATAAATATCAAAAGGAAAATACTTACAAAATATCACACTCGTTAAAGTTGGGCTGAAGATGCTGCAATGGAAAGAGAGATCTAAACGCAACACCCATATTGACAAAAACAGCTGACACATCAGCTAGTGAAGGAATCCATGGTTTAGACTGTTCATCACTGATGGAAGCTACAAATAAAAGACATGGAATGGATTAGTTTTAAATTTAGTTCCTGGCATCATTTCCTTCTAAGGGAAACAAATAAGCTCACCAGTCTGCATCAATTTGACCAGCTCTCATCTCAGAATTTCTGAGTTGGTGCCTTGAATGATGTGCTTATTTTCAGAATCATGAGGGGAAAAAAGGTGGTCTAACACACTATTTTACTCTAGAGAAACATCTTGCCTACATCAGAGGTGAATTACTTTAAAGCTCGACCCATTTTCCCTCCCAGCTCTCTTTCATCACTAACAGCATAATAAGCACGGAGGCAAGATTTACTTTTAAGAGAATATGTAAGTTACTGTTCTGTGTAGGTACAGGCAAGAAGGTGTTATCATAGTGGGACTGGAAGTGGAGCTATGTAAGATTTGAAAACAGGCAAGGCTTCTAGAACAGCAGTGGACTTTATAGACTATCTGACAGAAATAAGAATCAATGCTTATTGCAAAAAAGGCTGATTTCTACGATGACTTGTATCTGAAAGTCTGCAAATCTACAGAGGACTGTCTATAGGACACTAAACTAGCAAGGTAACATCAAACTAGATGCAGTATTTTCCAAACAATGACAGAAGCCACTAGAATTCTGAATCAGGTCAATTTTGTGTCTAAGAGCTAAGTTTATAGGAAAAAAACAAACATAATGGAACACAACACTCCAGACACTGCAGGATCAGATCTCAATGTTCAATTCAGTAAAAAAAACAACCAACAAAAAGATGCATCCTTAGTTAAGCACTGGAACAGGATGTCTCAGAATGGTTTAAAGACTCCATAGTTGGCAATTTAAAAATGGACAACTTTCCAGGAGCAACTGTAGTCTATTTGATCCTGCTCTCAGGTCAGAGATCTGCTTGGATCTTTCCCAGCTTTAATTCTCTGAATGCTCATTGATCAGCTTGAACTGTTCATTCAGAATCAAGCTTAATGCCAGCAAAGCACAACATAAAGGAGGCTGCATTCCTTCTCGTATCAGCTCACAGCCCTATTTCAAACAAGATTCAAAACGTGGTACAATTTGGACTGACCTGAGCAACATGCTAAGAAATGGCAAGCATCCTCTCAAACACTTGTGCCATTGGAAATGTTCTGAGAATTAAAAGTGAGGATGAGGGGAAATGGATTTAAACTGGAAGAGGGTAGATTTAGATTAGATATTAGGAAGAAGCTCTTCACTGTGAGGGTGGTCAGACACTGGAACAGGTTGCCCAAGGAAGTTGTGGATGCCCCCTCCCTGGAAGCGTTCAAGGCCAGGCTGGACGCGGCTTTGAGCAACCTGGTCTAGTGGAAGGTGTCCCTGCTGATGGCAGGGGGGTTGGAACTGGATCATCTTTAAGGTCCTTTCCAACCCAAACCATTCCATGATTCTATGAAGTGCTTCAAGAGAACTGCATTACTTTAATGATGTTCACTGGCAGGCTTAAATGAATTACTGACTTTTGATGGATCTGAATAAAGCGAAGCCATGAAGAACATACAAAGGAACTTGTATTGGAGAAGTATTTGAGAGTACAGATGAAGGAAGGCAAAACACACAAGACATGAGCAGCACTGCGGGCTGAAGTAGATCCCTGAAAGTGTTTCTGTGCAGGTGTATGATTCTTTTCACTTTTGCCATTCATCTGGAAAGTAAACTATGTAGTGCTACATACTGAGTATGACCATGAGAAAACCATCTTGTAGTCCTTAAGCTATGAAATTAATGTCTGCATCTTCTAAAGCAAAATGGAAAGGAGAGTAAACTTTTGAGCAGACTGGGCTCCTCCTTCAGGTCAACTCTATTTGTGAAATAACAGAAGCAAGTTTAAAAGGCTCTGTACAGGCCACAGTGCTATGCAAACACACACCAGGACCACATCCCGTGGTACAGCTTGCACACAGTGAAGATCAACTCCTAGCATTTGTGCAGGACTAACAGGAGAACCTAAATCCATGCCAGAATCACAGAACAGAGCCAGTGCCGTTTACTTCATCCCCAACACCTTTCTATACTTAACAGAAGGGAAATGACTTCCTTCAGGTGGTTGGTTTTCCATCCTTCAAATACTCACCATTTTTTAGTGTGATCTCCATTAATCTGTCTAAAATCTGCGTGGAAACACAATAGTCAGGATGAACAGACATCATCTGTGGAGAGAAAAGAAGCTACACGTCAAACACCAAGTTGCATGATGGCATCAGTTTTCTTTTACTTAACCCCCTCCCCTCCCCCAAAAAAATCTTCAGTAAAATAGAATAAGAAATAGTAAGATAAAAAAACAACCCCAAAGCCTCTAAAGCAAGATACACCAAGGAGAACAGTATATTGTGAATATAGATTATTTCAAGCAGTGCACAGATGCTATGAATACTTTACAGTTACTTATTTGCAATATCAGAATGCTGTAACCTCATGTTGAATCTGGTGGTTCATAAGAAAGTACTGAGGGTTATAAGAATGGAAAGTATCATATGTCCTTTTGGAATCTATTTGCATCTGTGATCAACTTTTAACTCCTTGGTCAGGAGCTGGGGCAACAGAGTTAGCTACAACCTTTTTCTCCTCCAAGTACTGGACAGTTTCCTGCTCTGTAAGCAAGCTGAATTGGCTCACACTTCCTCCTTATTAGAGGAACACCAGGGCTCACACAAGGGGTGGAAGGCAATTTTTTACTGGCTAGAGGGAAGGACATGGAGAAGCAAAATGTTTCCCTTTTGACAAAAGCAGAAAGCTAGTCAGCAGACCTAGCCTGCAACTTCACAGGCGGCACAGCTTTCTTTTTTTGTTTCAGGCAAAGTTACAATGTGGTAAATAATAATAGAGGGACATTTTTTATGAGTAATAGAACAATGTAAATTTCTGGAGATTAAGACATGGACATAGGCATCTAGAAAGCAGACAGCCACCACGCTTCCTTTGAGAATGGCTCTGAACTTTTTACTGAGCCATAGTGCACATCAGCCTTTTCCAAATGAAAGCTACCTGATAATGTGGATATCTCTGATGATTTACAAGGTGATATATGCAGAAATGGTACTTCTGCATGTTGCAGCATGTTTTGGGGGGTGTTTTTTGTTGTTTTTTTTAAGGGTGGAAGAAAATAAGATTAACATTGGCTTATGATTTGGCCCACACTATTGTATCCTGACATCTCCTCTCATCCAGCATGTACTGTGCCCTTTTCAAATTCAGTAACATGTACTAAGATGGACAAGGATGTGCAGCTTTGCCATCACCCAGGAAGTGTGGAGAAAAGTTATCCCTAGTGTTTTACCCCTAGTGATAATCAAAGTATTTCAGACTGGAGAACAAATCAGAACACAGAAAGAAAGATTATTTTGATTTAAAAATTGTTAACCTAATGCAACAGATTCACAAACTTGTTCTGATTATTCCTGCTATAACTGGCTTGCAGGAAGAATATCAAACCTGCACAGAGTATAACTGCATGAACAGTACAGTCTTACCTGGAAAAGCCACTTTAGAATTGTTATGGGACACAAGATACAACTGTAAGCAGAACTTAGAAAACCATTAATAGCCAAAGAAAGCTGCTGTGTTACACCAGAACTGAAAGACAAAGATGGGGGTGGGGAAAGAGGAGAAAAATCCATTAGTAGTTGAATCAGCACTTTCACAAAATCTTAAGAACTTCCCCACCCCTCAGATCATCATCAACAGCAAACAAAGATCTGAACATCTGAAACAGATGTTATTCTTATGCTCTTACCTATATGAAATACCATAGCAATTAAACCTTATTTGTTATTTAGAACAACTACCTTTTTCTCTAGAATGCCATACTATATAATTTGGAAACATTTCTATTATTAGAGAATAAGAGCTTCAAATAAACATTGATTTACACTATTGTACTATGAACCATTATCCCTGTCTACACAGACAGGCTGCTATGCTCAATGGGAACACTGAATAAGATTTTTTTACTGTTCAATAACCTTTACCAACACTTTTAGAAGAAAAGAAAAGAAAAAAAATCTAACTTTGAAATTTTTTAAATTATCTTTTAAACAGAGTCTGGAAGCAAGCTAAAGCAATTAAAATCAAACAGACTAATCTCACTGTGCAAATTTGTGAGATACAAAAAGTAGCTGTTGGAAGAACAGAAAATATGTCATTGTTATTACTGAATTATTTTAGCTTTAGTCTTCTTTAGAAAGTCAGATATGTCATAAGCAGCTGGATTAATGATATCCAGTTTCCCACAAGCCCTTCTTTAGACTCATCTATTCTCAGAATCTACTAAAACAAGTAACTCTACTGAGAGATCTGAGTCCCAACTTCTCCATATACCCTCTACCTATATCTGACTGAGCAGGTGGCTAGGAAGACATCCATGTGCCAACTGGACAGCCAGTACACGCCAGCTGTGCCAACTGGGCAGAATGCATAAGCAATTAAATCATAACTGCCTTCTGCAAGGGATGATTCATTTAATTCTCATTCCTCCAGTCACTGATTTACAAAATACTTTGAAGTACTTTTGAAGCTTAGATCCTTGTGATCTTCAAAACATATTAATAAAGAGGCCTGAAGCCAAAGGAGTATAATCACAAACACCACTTCCTCAAGAGACAAGGAGAAGTCACCCTCCTCCTCTTCACACCCACAATTCCACATACACACATGTACAAAATCTTTTAAGATTAAATGAATTCTCTCAATTTCACTAACTCAAGTTTGTAATAAAATGTCAACTGAAATAACCAGAACTTTTCAGCATTTGCACTTGTGCTATTAGGCAAGAGCTTGTCCACCTATCTGTAGCCTGACAGCCTCATAAATATAGAATACAGATCCCTATGGGTTACAGAACAGTTGTGTATATACAGAGACACGCTGCTAGCTCATTGACTGAACCTAACAGATGTCAGAAATGGTGACTTGCTGCAATCCTCATTAGGTGGAGCCCTAAGTCCCAGGCCCATTCGGGATGAAAACATGAAAAGCCTTTCAGCAGACATAACACAACATGAGTAGGTCACAAATCAGTTCACCACAAAGGTCCTCTTTCTGTCTCAGGATAGTTAACTTTTTGTTCATTGTAACATTTCACTTCTGCATTTATCTTCCATAAACTGGACAGATTATCAACGACAGCACAACACAGTAGAAACATGGAAGAGGCTACAACACCTATTTTTTTTTTTCCCTTATGTGTCATTTGAGACATTTTTCAAGAATTCCAAAGGAGGAAAGAAGGAAGTTTCAAGTAACAGTTCACTGCTCTGTAAAGCTAACCTGGAAAGGAGAATTCCAGGGAAAGGGAATCAGCCTTGCCTACTTAGTAAGACAGAGCTCATTTGCATGCAAAGATACTATTTTATCTTAAAAACTGTTAACACTGAAGAAAATCATGCAAGTAAACACAACAGAGTGAAGAGGATATTTTTACCTAAGAAGGAGTTTTTCTATAGGATTTTGAGGGACGAAGTCAAAACTCCTCAGGTCAAGGTTATGCTGGTTGAAGATTTTCCCAGAGGTTGATAAATCAAATATATCTTCTCCAGGGTGGTAGTCAGGTATGGCATGAGCTATTACTGAAAATTTCTTTATAAATGCCCTGTAAAACTCAAAATTGCTTTTATGAATTTAAACACTGACAGGCTCGTTGAGACAGTTATTTTCAGATGAACACACCAGCCTTATGTGAAAGCTGAATTGTTAAAATACAGTAATGTCCAAGAAAACACACCCAACCCCAAAAGATGATAAAAATAGTTCACATTAAACATTAACAAAACCTGATGGAAAGAGAGCGAGATTAGGAAAAAAGGCTAGAAAAGTGAAGAACTAGATTTAATTGGTTCTGGAGTTGTAAGGACCTGTGTTCTTCGGAGAGATCTTCATCTCCACTGGCATTCTCATTATCTCCTCCATCTGAAGAATCCGTTTCCCTTCCTTGTATGTCTTCCTGTAACCACTTTTCTAGTTCATCAACCCTGAAATAACAGTAGCAGCAAAACATATCACCATTTAGTATTTACAACAGAAGACAATACAACTTAAGCTCTGAATGTGAACCCAGGAGTCAGTAGCCAGTTACACATGGCAAAAGCATGTGAGACTTTTCATCTGTATAAAACAAAAAACAAGCATCTGAATGTTTCCCAAAACCTAGTGAGTTTAACAGCATAATCAATCACTAGTTTGTCACAGACAAATAGATCCAACCAACTTCTGACAGTATTTTTTGTAATAACACAAAACTTTTAATCTTGTGGTTGAATTTAAATATTTTGTTGTTTTTTTAGACATCATACTAGTATTTTATTTGTTACAAAGTATTTGTTATAGGAGTATTTGCTACTTCAGAGACAGTCAACCTATAGTTACTGGGGTCAGATTCTTTAATTGAAACAGTTAATCACATATATATACCCATCACCACCACTTGCCATTGGGACATATACCACATTACACTTTCTAGACAAAAGATCTCTTGTGAGAACACTCATTAGTTCTGTTTACTGAACTGTGCAACTACTCAGATACCAACAGTCTACACAACTTGTGAAACCAAAACTAAGCTACAAATGACTTTGAAGAAACTAGTACAGTCAGTCTACATAAATACTTCTATTTCATGCCTGACCAGCAGCTGCTAGCTGGCTCAGTGACCTATAGTGAAGGCATCAGTAAATTAATTCAGTTTGGCTCTTGAGGGTGGAGATGTATCATAAATCACTCCTTATTGCTTGGAAGGAGCCTGTCATTCAGCTTCTACAGTTAAGCTGCACTTGTAGGTCCAGCCAGATGTACGTTGGTGGCACCAGCAGGCAAAGTTTAGCTTGCTGCTAACCAAACTCCATCAGCGTTGAGGAGACGAGGTAAATCTAAGCTTCTACAACTCCATCTCAATTTTTTCCAAAGTAGCTTTAAGAAACAAACCTTTTAGATTCTTCTTTCTCCTTCAAAAGATGTTCCAAGCTGTTCACATATGATACCTGGCTAACAACAGGAGGCTTAGAAAGCTGTAAATGAAATAGTAAGAAATTTTTAAAAATACTACAAGCTATCAATTCATTATTAAACAATAAACATAATCAAAATAGAAACCTCTTCCAATTTTAATATTTTACCTGAAAATAAAAACCTCAATGGAGACCCTGAAAAACAGGATTATTAACAGTTCAGGTTTCTCAGTCCCTTGACAATTTTATATAATGGTCAAATCTCTCTCAGTGATTAATTTAGAAATAATTGTGCTTCATGACGGATCTGAACAGCAAAGCAAGTCTCTGCTTCTCTCCCTGGAGCTGACCTCCAGCTAACCTTCACAAAGAACATTAGCATCAGAAGCCTTTTACCTCACAGCTTTATTTTTATCACCCACTGAGACCCTGGGAATCCCCATTCTGGTGCAGGAGACAAGAAATTCCAAAAACCATTCAATACCTCTTTCTTACTTTCAGGAGTCCCTAGAGGGCAAAGCACCAGCGTTTGCTAAATCACCTCCAAAATCATCAGACAAAACAAAGCTTACAACCAAAATCCTAATACAAATGCAAATTAAGAAGCTAATAAATAGAGTTAAAACTGAAACAAAACAACACACAAAGAAAGTGTTAATTGCTAGCAAAATTAGTTTATTTTTCAGTAGCCAGTGTTTTATTCAGCTACCAGCAGACAACATATATTTGAAATCTTTTATGACCACGATTCAGTTCTTTGGACAAGCAGTGCCCTTCTGACATCACCTTCTGAAATCACAAACCTCTTACTAGTGAGAAAGTTTCTTCCTATGAGCTCCTTCCTTTTAGGAGAAAGCAATTCAATAAGAGTACACCCTCTCGGTGGGGATTTTCTATCATCCAAAGATAAAAGAGGTTAGTTTAAGAAGTTAGTGTCCACCTGCCAATAAAAAGCTAGTTAATACAGCATTATTTTTTGGTATTGAGAGGTATCTTTCAAATGTAACCAAATGTAAATGTCTTTGTGTCGGAAATCCTGTGGGAAAGCTAAAGATCTCTTACCTTATTTGATAACTGCTTAATATGTCTAAAATGACTGCTGAACAACTGAGGAATCAAAACTACCCCAATGTGCACATATGCCCCTTCTTACAAGACATGAGAAGAATGCTAGTATATGCAAAAAGCACAGACATGGAAACTTAACTGTTCTGTCTTACTTGGCCATTAATTATGCAGAAACAGGATAGGCCAAATGTGTGGTCAAATACATGTTCCACAAACATTTGATCTAAGCTGCATCTTTTTATCAGTCTTAACCATTAATTATGTAGATACGTTGGTTAAGGTTGTGGAAGATGTATGTAGCCACTAAAGTCTGATCTATAACAAGCTTGCACAATGCACTGTAAGGACAGATAAAATAATTGCAGCTATTCAACATCTGCCTACCAAGACCTTAACTCGTTTCAGAGATTTAAAAATGGGTGAGAGGAGGACAAGAGTATTTATACAGGTTTTCTGCTGTTTGTTTTCTACTGTAGAAAATAGCAGTGGGCTGACCCTAGTCAGCAGCTGAGCACCACACAGCTTGTTCATTTCCCCACCCAGTGGTGCAGGGGAGTGAACAGGAACAGCAAAAGCAAGAAAACTCCTGGGTTGAGATAAAGACCGTTTCATAAGTGAAGGAAGAGGGGATAAGGGCAAAAAGAGAGTGATGCAAAGGCAATCACTCAGAACCTCCCACAAGCAGAAGGATGCCCAGCTAGAATACAAGTAATGGCTACACACCAGACCAACTCCCCCTGCTTGGTTTTGATTGCTGAACATGACACTATGTGGCATGGAATATATCCCTTTGCTCATCTGGGGTCAGCTATCCAGGCTCTGTCCCCTCCCAACTTCTTGTCCACTCCGGCCTACTCGCTGCGGGGCAGAGCGGGAAGAAGACAAAGCTTTGATGCTGTGCAAGTACTGCTCCACAATAGCTAGAAGACTGGTCTCTTATCAAAACTGGTTTTGTCCAAAATGCACAGCACCATACAGATGTTACGAAGAAAATTAACTCCAACCCAGCCAGACTCAGTACAAAACCTTTTTATTTAAATGCAGCCATTTCCAATGT